ATGAGGATGAGGATGAGGATGAGGATGAGGATGAGGATGAGGATGAGGATGAGGAGGAGGAGGAGGAGGAGGAGGAGGAGGAGGAGGAGGAGGGGGGACCGTGGAGTTCCTCGGGGCCAGGAACTCGCCATCGCTCGGACTGCTAGTCCCGTACATTGTTGTTGCGATTTCGTGCGCGTGTTCTTCGATGGCCCTCGCCGAAGAAAAAAAACACGCCCGCGTCCGAGCCATGCAAAGGGTACATGACACGGCAGCCCGGCAGGCGCCGCGCCCGCGCGGGGCCTGGGCCTGGTCGGCGACGCACTCGCTGCAGCGCCGCCGAAGCGACCCGTGGCGCTGGAGGCCGAGTGGGAGGCACCGCGCGGACGGCAGAGGACCTGCACTGCCACAGGCGGTGAGCGCCGCCCAAAGGCGAGGCGAGGGGCGCCCGAGGCTCGAAACCTCACGGACTTCCCACGTGAGACGAAGAGCCTGCTTTTTAGACTCCAGCAAAGGCTCCTTGCATGGACGGGGGGGGCTGATCCTGAAGCAGGCAGCAAACGACTTGCACATGCGGAAATCACACAAGTCGAGAGGCACTTGCACGCCAGATTTCGTTTGAAGAGGGGCGAGGGGGGGAGGGGGGGTGCGAATACCATGCAGGTAAGCTCGCCTGAATCTAAAAGAAAACAGGCTCGAAGCCAGGACGAGGATAGCATCGGATATGGATAGATCGAGAATATTTGAGATCCAGCGTTTCTGGAAGATGTCTCTGGCGCCGCGGCCTTCCCGGAGCGTCCCGGGACGCTCTGGATCGGACTTATCCTCGTCCTAGCCCCGTCCAACCAGGGCAGGCTTCCCGGGCTGTGGGCGGTAGCATGCCGCCTGCCTGAAGTAGCGTGACACGGTTCAGGATGCCTTAGGAGGCAACTACTGGGAGGCCTTCGTCAGAAAAAATAGGAAGAATTGAACCCCAATGGGGGGGGCTGCTACGCTGGATGAGGCCGCGGATTATGCGGTATGAAACTGGATCAAGCTGGATGAAGCCGGACTGATCGGGATTAAGCGGGATTCAGCTGGATGTCGGGCCAGGACAACGTCCGAATTTGACCTCCCAGGAACTGCATCCGAAGGCAGACTTGCCGGGCTGTGAGTGGCAGCACGCCGCCTGAAGAATTGTGACTCGATTCAGGATGCCCCTGCCCTCACGGGTTGGGGGCTCGCGCCACACGGCTCCCCGAGGGCGAAAACGCCTGCGGTGTCCCCTTCCAACCCTCTCCAGTGCGATCGATCCTTCTCCTTTTCCTTCTCCACTCAGTCCCGGACCTCCTCCCAATACGGCCGGACCTAGGACAGAAAAGATCCTTCAAGCACATGAGACCCTCCGCCAGCCAAACTGAAGAGCATTCGAGGGTAACTACCCTCACCCAGGATGCACAAGAGCACACAACACACACACAGAGCATCAAGGTACCCTCCCCAGAGCCGACCTCGATCCTACACCTCGCTCCGACCGTACTCATCCTGCCCCACCTGATCCGTTCCCTCGACACGACCACGATGCAGGAGAGGGAGGACCAAGAAGGATGGGGGAGGACGGAGAAGGGCGGCGGAGCGGGAGGGGGGAAGGGCAGCCGAGATCTTCGGCCAGGCAGGATGCGGCACCTCGACCGCACGGAGCGTATACCGAGAAGGGCGAGGGTGGGGAGGCCGGAAGGTCCTTACCGACATCGCTACAGGCGGCCCGTATCAGAAGGCTGCGCGATGAGGAGGCAAGGGCACTGGACGTCCGTTTCGAAGCTGTTGTAGCGGGGCGCGGCCAACGAAAGTGGCCAAGGATGGACCGAGGAGGCAAGGATGCAGGGGTACCTTTGGGAAAGTTGTCCAGCCTTACCGTGAGGGTTGACTGTACTCCCCGGACCTCTCCCGGGATTCGTTCTGACCAGAATTTCGAGGCGAATCCAGCGGTGCCAACGATCTCCCAGGAGGGCCCCCAACAAAAGGGAGAACGAAAGGGAAAGGTAGCGGTATTGGCACCCGTCGGTCGAAGTAGGAAGGCGTTGAAGTAGATTTGGCTTCCGCCCGCCCCGTGAAGAGAAAAAGGATGTCAGAGTACTCGATCCTCGAAGTGGGAAGGCGGCCAGAGTAGATCTAAGATCGGGGAATGAAGAAATACCAAATTCCAAAAACCGACGGGTATGGGTACCTTTTCCTCCTCTGAAGTTCTGTGGCAGCTCATGGGAGCCTCTGATACCATCTTGTCGGTTCTTGCGAATCGACGCTAATCCACGCAACATCGACGCTAAATCAACGCTAATCGACGCTAGCCGACGCTACATCGGCCCTATCTCATCGACTCCGGTGGCTGGTCGACGCCAGTCGACGCTACACGATTTGCGTCGAACTTACCAGGGCATACAGGGCTCCCGTGGTTTGCCACTGGATTTCCCTCCTCTCGAGGGCGGGGGAGAGCGCCCCTCGCCTCGCCAGGCCGCAGATCTCGAAGTCCCAGTGCGGGGCCATGCGGTCCCGCAGCAGCGCGCACAGCCTCCGCGCAGGGGGAGCCCGCGGCGGGACGGGGGGGGGGGTGCGAGGCGCTGCGGGGAGGGCGCGGCAGGCGATGCGCCCCGGCCCCCTCCCTCCAGCGAGGGACAACGGTCGGTTCGGTAGCGACTCATGGGAGCCTGGTCTGGCCATCGCTCGGACGTCCATGCCCTGTGCTTTTTTCGGTTTCGTGCGTGGTTGTTTCCCCAAATGATCAAGGATGCTCCGCGGTAGTCCTCGCCGAAGGAAAAATGCAAACGTCCGAGCGATGCCAGGCGGTACGCCCTCCTAGCTCCGTCTTCAGCGTCGATTAGCGTCGATTGGCGTCTGGGAGTCGATGGGATAGTGCCGATTTAGCGTCGGCTAGCGTCAACCAGCGTCGATTTGGCGTTGACTCAGTGCCGGTTAGCGTCGACTGCCAGCGATTGGCGTCGATTCGCAAGAGCCGAACAGATGGTATGGGAGGTTCCGATGAGTTGCCACCGAAAGTTTTTGGGGGGCTGGCTCAGGGGGGGGGAGGGGATCGACGTGAGTGACGATCGACACGGGTCTTCCTCGAGGTGGCACAGCGACCTCGCGCGGCGGCCTTCTTCAGGAGGAAAAAAACACAGAGACACAATGAATCCTCGACTCCCCAGAAAAGATTGGAAAATATGGGAAGTGAGGGGGAAGACAGCAACCCAGAAAACATGGAAAAAGATGGGGAATCTTGTTATTTGTGTGTATCTATTTGTGTGTCCTGGGGCACCTTTACTTATGCGGGCCGCCCGCGCGGCACGCCGCACCCGGAAGCGAGGGCGCTTATACGCGCGACCCCACGCGGGGACAGCTCACGCGCCACTGCCAGCGCCGACGGCCCCGCGCGCGTTCTGCGGCGCCCACGGGGCAGTCGGCGCTGCTAACCAGCCTCGAACGTATCCCTATCCCTAAGATGGGCGAGCAAAAAGCGAGGACAATCTTAGGGATAGGCCCTCAAAGACTGGGGGAATCCTTAAGATCGGCATCGAGGTGAGGTGATGTCAGACATGGGAGATGCTCCGCCGGCAGGGCGGTGGCGGCCCCCCGAAGGCGAAGCCGCACGCTCTCCTGGGCGAGGTGGGGCCGTCAGGCCCCCTGGCTCACTGGCCTCGAATTGATCCCCATCCCTAAGATTGACACGCCGAAAGGCGACGACAATCTGAGGGATGCGCCCTCAAAAACGGAGGGAATCCCTAAGATTGGCATCGTGACGGGGCGATGCCCAGCGTATAGGGATAGGGATATGCTCCAGGCTGGTAACTGGCGGCGGTCCATGAGCCCTCGTGGACGGCTGCGTTCCCTCCCTGGGCCCACCCCCTGCCCTCAGTCCTCCGCGGCTCTCGCCCCTCCTCGACCCTCGCTCCTCCTCGACCCTCGACCCTCCTCGACCCTCGCTCCTCCTCGACCCCCTATTCCCCCCCCCTATCGCTGCCCCCGACCCCGGGGCTCTCAGAGCGGCGGGGGGGGCGCCGCGGGGGGGGTCCGAGGCGAACCAGCGCTCCGCGAGGCGGAGCGACGGCTGCCGCCGCCCCATCAGCCCCGCAACTCCAACGAAGGACCCTTGAGGGCCCATCCAGAAGGAAAGAACTTCTGGGGCGCGCCCAGGAACCCAAGGGGTCCGGCTTCCGCGGAGGACAAACAAATCCCTGGCGAGGGGTTCGAGCACGGGGGTTACCCCCGCCTCAGATTCCGGAAGATGAATGAATTCTCAGCCGCAGGGGTGCCCGCGCGAGGGGCCCCACCCACCCCAGCGCAACCAGAGGAGGAAAAGCGTGAGAGCATTGTACTAGGGCATTGCACTAGGGAGTTGCACTGGGGAGTTGTACTCGTACTCCTTGCACTCGGGGGTTGCGCTGGGGAGTTCTACTAACACTGGGAAGTTGCACTAGTTGCACTTGGGGATTGCACTAGGGTTTGCACTAGTACTAGGTAGCTGTACTAAGCATTTGTACTAGGCAGTTGCACTGAGGAATTGTACTCAGGAGTTGTACTCGTCGCAATAGGGAGTTGCACTGGGGATGGCAGTGGAGAGTTGTGCTGGGGGCTTGAACTACTAATATGACACCATTTGCACTCTAATACTTGCACGGCAGGACAACGTTCTCTGAGGGAGCAACTGCGCGCTAGTACATGATAGTACCAGTCGTACTCAAGTACTAGTTGTACGGTAGTCGGAGCAACTCGCGCGCGGAAGAAGGACAGAAATCCACGCGCCGTCAGGGGCCCCTGGTTTAACGGGTCGCCGCGACGGTTGACCCCCCGCGGAAAGGAGAAAAGAAATCCGGCCAGGGGGTTGGCGGGTTCAGGCATGAGTCGCGGGGCTGATGCCGCCCCCCTGGAGAAGCTGGCAGTGCGTGGAGGGGCGTATGGGGATGGGGGGGAGGGCTTCTTAGACGGAGGCCGCTTCCTACAGGGCGCGGGCCTTACATCCACGGAGGAGGCCCGCGGCTTCGCAGGAGCCTCCCCCCCTCTCCTAACCCCCCTCTGCGCGTGGCTGAAGACGCCTCCTGGGTGCCCCCCCCTGGTCGTCCTGAGACCTTCTCCTCGTCCTCCTCCACCTCCTCCTCCTCCTCCTCGTCATCCTCCCCCCGTGCTATTCTTTCTCCTCCCCTGTACTCCTCCTCGTCCTCCTCCTCCTCCTCCTTCCTCCTCCTCTAATTTCTCCCTGTCGCACCCCGAGACCAGTGTTTAGAACTGGCCGGGCGTTTCTACTGAGACTTCCTCACCATTTATGACCCTGAAGCTTCAAACATGCTCTCGCCTCAGCGTCGAAACACTCGTTTCAAACATATGCAAGACGTTCACGGATTGAGAGCGACTGGTTATCAGAATAGTGCTCTCGCCTGAGCGCCGCGCTCATTCGTCTTAAACGATTGCAGATTCACGGGCTTCCATGGTCAGCGTACCAGAAACTGTGTATTGGAAGGGTTCACGATTATGATGGTGCAACAGTCGCATGGAGACGCGGTGTTGAAGTCCCACGAATTTCGTTCAAACACGATTCAATATCGTCAAGACGCAACACTCAAATTGATCCGTGGCGTTGGAATCCCGAGAACAATGTTTGGCATGCTTCAGGGTCTTCTAATGGTTGTCTTCCAACCAGGCAGATCCCTCAATGGAAATGACCCGTTTCGTTTCCAGGGTTGGGGAAAAGCGTTTCCATGGTTGCTAGCAGATCGGATTTCCAAGGTTGAGACCTCGCATCTCGGGTTCGGAGTTGAATCCCTTGGCTCATCACGTGACTCCTGGGCAATGCTGCGCGTTTTCCTTCTGAGGGCAGAGTGCGTCAGAAACAATTTCCAGACTGCAAGAAAAGCCACCAAGACGCCCCAGGACGGACAAGAGGCCCCGACCAGGACCCAGGACGGCCCAAGAAGCCCCCACGAGGGCTCAAAATGAGGAGGACCGCGGAACGGCCTCTGGAGCCTGCCCCCCAAAGATTGCCCCGACGGTGTCCCGACGACCCCCAACATGCCCTTCACCCAAAGGGCCCTCCGGAAGCGCCCCAGCGCCCCAGAGGCCCAACTCTGCATCCAAGAGCCCCCCCCCTCCCCGCACCGAGACCCCGAGGGGCCCAAGAGCCCCCTCAGGAGGCAGCCGAGAGGCCCGTGGCCTCGAGCCGAGGCACGCTCGCGGGCGGGGCCGAAGACTACCATACAACAGAAACATCACAGACGACATATTGATCCCCCTCCTCCCCCTCCTCCTCCTCCTCCTCCTCCTCCTCCTCCTCCTCCTCCTTCTGCTCCTCCTCCTCCTCCCTCTCCTCCCCCTCCTCCTCCTCCTCTTCTCCTCCTCCTCCTGCTCCTGCTCCTCCTCCTCCTGCTGCTCCTCCTCCTCCTCATCCTGCTCCTCCTCATCCTCCTCGTTGAGGAAGCACTGCGTACACATAGGGGACATCGTGACAGTGAAGCAGGCGCTGAATCATGTCCGCTTCGGCCTGTTGAGTGAATGAATGTGATTTGTGGCACGATGTGCTCTTCGAGGAACGGCGAAGCGGATATCCTTAGCGGAAACGCACATGGGATGGTGAGGCGGAGCGGTCTGCACAGGACTGGCTCACGCTGCGGCGGCAGGAGCCAAGGGGATCTCCTTGGCGGAACGGCGCATCGGACATCGAGTCCGAGGGGTCTGCATCGGGAGAGGCACCTCAGAAACGAATTGCGACACGGAAGGCGCTGGGCAGAGGAGTAAAGGAACATGAACAAGCATAAACAAACACGTTTGGCGCTGCGCGCAAATTTCTTGGATCTGAGATGGACGCGCCAGGGGCGGCGCCCGAGGCGCCGCCAGGAGGGGCCCCCCGTACGGATCCAAGAAATACGCCGGAGCGCCACAAGTATAGGTTTACGCCGTGTCTCCTTGGAAGGAGAAAGAAAAGCCACAGTCAGATCATGAAGTCCTTCACGCAGGAGAGCCCAGAATGGAATCGAGAAGTCGAATCGGCGATCGAAACTAATCGGATCGGCGGAAATCGGCAGCCGAATCAGGAGCAGTCGAACCGGCAGAAATCGGCAGGCTGGCAAACCTCCATTGAAACATCGAAATCCAAATCGGAAACCGAAGTCAAATCGGATCGGAATTGGAAGCCATCGAAATCGAATCGAATGGGAGGAGTCAACATGACTCCTGTTCACGCGCGCGCCGAAGGTGCAGCGAGAACGGTCCGCCCTGCGGCGGCAGCCTCGCCGGATCCACGCCGCCCTTCGGCCCGACGGGAGGCTTCTCCACGGACCACACGAAACCGGTGTGCAGGGTCACCTCGTGGGGGGCACAGAGGTCCAAGAGCTACTCTCATGCCACATGCCCCTCCTTTGCGGGCCCTGGATACGGCAGGGCCGTTTGTCACCGTTTCCACAAAAATGTCCCTTGAAAATAGAAACGGCAAAAAAACGGCGACCGGAAACGGCAACAAAAACGGCTCCAGGATTGGAACCGGAGCCGGAACCGGTCAAAAAACGGCGACGGAACCGGTAAAACATCGGCGTCGGAACCGGCAAAAAAACGGCAAAACGGAACAGGTAACAAAACGGCCCTGTCGTTTCCAGGGCCCACAAAGTGCCCCTCCCCCTCTTGGCCGCCCCCGACCCCTCTCCCGCGCAGGCCGCGCGCCGGGCGTAGTTCGCCAGCTTATCCCCGAGCGCTGCCGCCGCCGAAGGGCCCGGCGGGCGAGCGGCCCGCCCCCCTTAAGTCGGGCCTGTACCCCTACAAGGGGGATTTTCGACGAAAAAATAATTTACAAAAAAAACCTCAAAAATGCATCAAAAAGGTCCTAAAATATCCAGCAAATAGTCCCCATACTATTTTTGGATTTTGTTTTACCATTGTTGGTGTATTTTTTATTTGTCATCGAAAATCCCCCTGTAGGGGGACAGGCCCGACTTAAGCGTAGCTCGCCAGCTCATCCCCGAGGCCCTGCCGCCGCCGAAGGGCCCAGCGGGCGAGCGGCCCGCTCCCTCTGGGCGAGCGGCCCAGGGACACGCCTCTGGGCGGGGGGGGGCCGCAGCGCCGCAGTTGCGCGAAGGCGGGGCGGGGGCCGCGGATCGCAGGCAGGGCGGCAGCCGAGCGCAGCGGCCAGCAGGTTCCACTGATGGGCCGATGTCCCACCACCACCACCAAAGGTACGATGCGGGAGGAGAGGAGGATGGAGAGGTCCTCCTCCTCCTCCTCCTTCTCCTCCTCCTCCTATTCCCTCCTCCTCCTCCTCCTCCTCCTCCCCTCCTCCTCCTCCTTCTCCTCCTACCTATGGTTGTGGTGGTGGAACATCACTCCATCCCCGCGCGCCAACTTGAGACCCGATTTACGTCGGACCCACGTCTCATCTACGTCGGGTTTACGTCTGACTACGTCGGAACTGCGTCGGATTCACGCCAGACTGACGCCGGAGCATCGCCGCGCGAGCGTCGACCCACAGATTACGGAGCTGACGCGTGGACTAGACAACACAACCATGGCGCGCCGCGCGGCGCCTCCAGGATGTTCCTCATAACCCTCCCTCTTTCGCTCATCCCGCCTCCCTCGTGCTGCCATGTTTTAAAGGGGCCCCAGGACACACAAATAAATACACACAAATAGGAATATTCCACGTGTTTTCCCATATGTTTGAGGATTGTGTCTTCCCCCCCACTTCCCATATATTCCTATATTTTCTGGGGAATCGACGATGAATTGTGTCTCTGTGTTTTTGTCCCCTCCTGCCCTGTGCTGGCCTCCAGCGGCGCCCGGAAGAAGGCGAGGACAGCCAGGGGCACGTCGTTGGAGTCGCCCACGGGGTCGCCCTCCGCGCACGATCGGATCTTCGCGGCTCTCGCGGAGCGCCGAGGAGAGGAGGGCCGGGGCGGGCCGGGCCGCAGGAGCGACGGACGGCAAGACGGGGCGACGAAGAGAAGGAGCGCGAGAGGAGCGGGGAGCGCCGAGGAGAGGAAGGCGAGGCTGGAGCGGCGAGAGAAGGGAACGGCAAGACGGGGCGACGAAGAGGAGGAGCACGAGGAGAGCAGGGAGCGCCGAGGAGAGGGAGGCGAGGCTGGAGCGACGAGGAGAAGGAGCGGTGAGAAAGGGATAGATTGCAAAAAAACCTGCGGTAAGAAAGGGTTGTTTTGCAATCCTGCGGTAAGAAAGGTTTTTTTTGCAATCCTTCGTTCAAGGGTTTTTTTTGCAATCCTTCGTTCAAGAAGGGTTTTTTTTGCAATCCTTCGTAACATCAGATCACGGTCAGAACACTGAAAAGCACGGCATACCAGAACATAACACCTCATATCAAAACACGACACACTGCATCATGACATGGCAGAGCAGACCATCACAAGACGAACGAATTTTCTGCAATAAGAGATCATGTAATGGCTTAACGGACACACCTTATAACAGCATGACAGGTGAAAGCAAAGTGTTGTATTACGACTACTATCGCGACTGATATACTAGTCCAGACTCCCAAATATAGCATTCCAGTGGCTTGAATATGCAATGCAGAGTATCAACAATGTCAGAACACGCCATGTCGTATCATAGCAAATCATACCATAGTGAAATATGACAGATCATACGATAACCAGGCACAACATCACACACCAGACCACACCAACACATGACTAATCCGTGCGGTGGAATGGGGTATGACCGAGTGGACCATCACATAGCATAGCATACCACAACATACTTGTTCAACGACTGATGCCAATACGACTGCGGGGTACAATACAATGTTCAAGAGTAAAACACAAGTGAACATGACTATCAAGACATACCATACCATATCCATAACAACTGACATACACAGGCGCCACGTACCACTGGGCACGGAATTGGAGTGTCCTCAGGTCTTTGCCCAATCATGTAGGCCTCAATCCACAGTCCTCAGGAGACGTTCAAGGGCTCGGAACCCAAATTGCAAAAGATTGCGGGCTTCTCGCGGCTTGCGCGGCGTCTCGCTTTACCCCAGCGAGTTGCCTTTTATCAGGAAAGGTCGAGCGAGTGCGACCGATAGGAAGATCGCAAATGAGATCGCGTGTTGTCCCGATGGTGTCCATATGTTGTGCCGATGGTGACCCGTCGGTATCCCGTCGGCGTCCCGCGGGTGTCCCGTCAATGTCCCTTCGGTGTCCTGTCGGAGTCGCGTCGGTGTCCCGTGTCGCCTCGTAGTGAGATCGATGGAGGGATCGACAGTGAGATTGATAGTCAGATCGATAGTGGGATCACTAGTGATATCTAGAGTGAAGTGAAAAGTGAACTCGATCGAGTGAGAGCGATGTTGAAATTACACGAGTGAGACCGATAGCGAGATCGGTGCGAGATCGACAATGAGATCGATAATGAGATCAATTGTGAAATCGATGGTGACCTGATGGTGTCCTGATGTGTGCCCCGATTGGTGTCCTGATTGGTGTCCTGATGTTGTCCTGGTGGTGTTTCTATGATGTCTCGGTGGTGTCCTGGTGGTGACCCGATAGGTGCCTCGAGTGGTGTTCAGATGCTGTCCAGATTGGATTCCTGGTGGGTGTCCTGGTGGTGTTTCGATGGTGTCTCGATGGTGTCCTGGTGGTGACCACAGTGAGAATTGGCGGAGGGACCGCAGAGAACCCGATACGCCGAACGGGCTTCAATGTCAGCATCATGTCAGCATCCCCGGCCACGGGATCGACTATGACTTCAAGCGAGTGATGCCCCGTCGGTGTCCCGCCGGTGTCCATTCGGTGTCCCTATTGGTGTCCTCTCGGTGTCCCAATTGGTGTCCCGATGGTGTCCGATGGACACACACACGCACACATCCAGCCAGGAGACTTCACTTGTGCCCACGAGCGTCCCGAGGCAAAATGCATGACACCACGAGCGCACGGATGAGGGATGAGGAAGCCCGAATTCGAAGCTTCGGACGAATTTGATAGTGAGATCGGTAGTAAGATCGAGAGTGAGTTCGATAGTGGTATCGACAGTGACTGCGATGGAAGGGAATCGGCAAAACGTTAGATCGATTGTGAGATTCGTTGTAGGACCGACTGCGTGGTCGATGGAAAAATATGCCAAATGTCCCGTCGGTGTCCCGTCGGTTGTCCCGTCGGTGCCCCGTGGTGTCACGTCTGTGTCCCGACGATGTCCCGTCAGTGCCCCGTCGGCGTCCCATTGCCATCATGCATTGTCGTTAGCATCGTCGTCTTCAATCGTCATCAATTCGTGAGCACATCACCAGCATCGCCTCCCTCGCAATCATCGCAGTTGTCCTCAGCTGGCTCTCTCCCCCCCGACTTCCTTCTCACCCGAACGATGGTCGTATAGGCACACCTGGGCGATGTCGGAAGCCCAGTGCACAACAAGAACTTGCATCTCTTGGGGCCGCATCTTTTACTTCCGCCGCCTTCCGCCAAGCCATCGCCGGTTTCTGCCAGCGGAAGCGACTTCGTTTTCCTCCCGCCGAACTTCCGCCGAGGAAGAGATGACAACTCCTTCGAACCTCGAAGGCAAAGCCTTTTTGGGGAACGCACCCATATGAGGGCGTGCCGTCTTATAAGGCGATGCCCGCACCCTTCACAGGGTCTCCGTGTGACCGTGCCTCGAGACGCTGAGAGTGTCTAGCGTGCGATGGCATGAAAAGGTCGGGCGCGGGTGAGTGGTGAGACGCGGATGCTTGGTGCGACGGATTGCGGGCGATGGCCCACTGGGCATCCCGGCCGCGGCGAGCAAGAGCACCGCCGGGCCTGCCGCTCACAAGAATGCCTCGGGCGTCGAAAGAAAAATGGCCGCGACTGCTTCTGCTTCAAGGCGAAACCGGGACGAGGACAGCGTCGGGTGATGATGCATCGAGAATGTCTGAGATCCCGCGGCTCTGGAGGATGTCTTGGGCGCCGCGGCCTTCTCGGAGCGTTCCGGAACGCTGTGGAACAGGTTTACAGTGGGGGATCGGCCAAAAGAAACCTCCGCAAGAAACCCAACCCTGAAATCCGCGATTTGTTCAGTGAAAACTCAAATTTGTCGATCGAAGGTAGTCAAAATCTGATTGGGTGCACATAGAATTCCAAGAAACCCAAGGCACCCTGGCACAATCCAACTGATTTCTTGGCACACGCCCCCACTGTATCCTCGTGCTAGCCCTGCCCGATGCTATCCCGATCCGAGAGCTCAGCCCTAGGGGCAGCAAACAAAAAAAAATCCCCAAACCTATCTTGGGGTGCGCCGTGACCAGACTCTCGAGGCGAATCCAATTATGGCCTCCCAAGAATCCCAAGAAAGGGGCCACGAGGAAGGGTAGCGGTATGGGTACCGTGTCCTCCTCCTCCTCCACCTCCTCCTCCTCCTCCTCCTCCTCCTCCCCCTCTTCCTCCTCCTCCTCCTCCTCCTCCTCCTCCTCCTCGACCTCCTCCTCCCCCTCCTCCTCCTCCTCCCCAGCCCGAGGGCCCAGAGCACGCCTCGCGCTCCATCAGCGCGTTGAGGTGGAAAGCCGCGGGCCCCACTGCGTGTGGGGGTGCAGCTATCGTGCTGCCGTCGGGGACCACTAGATCGGGGACGAAGGGGCTATTTTCGCCACGACGAACCTCGGCCACGAATGGGTCGTCGTCGTCGTCGTCGTGGTCGTCGTCGTTAGAACACAAGGCGCTCTTGTATGTCAGCGTCACGGCGGTGGACAGAAGAAGCAGAGCGGCCATCGGCCCCTGACGCAGGGGGCGGGGGAGAGGCAAGCCGACCCGTCTCGTTTACCAAGTATGTTTGTTATTGGCCTCCATCCTGATTCTTCCTCCTCGCCCTTCCCCTCCTCATCCTCTCTTCTTCGTCCTCCTCTCCCTGTCCCTCGTCATCCTTTTCCTCCTTTCCCTCGACTTACTCTTCCACTTCATGGGACGGCGGACCGCCCAAGCGCAACGGCATCGTGCCCCAGCATCGCGCCCCCTGGTCGCACCTGCGGCCAACAAGGTTTGCGGGAGAGGGTCAAACGACGACAACGAAACAAAAGGACAGATGATGGCACAGAAAACTGGGGAGGCGGGGAAATGACGGGAGGGCGGGGAGGACTTGAAATAGAGGATTTCGAATAAGAGGAGAGCCGACAGACAAGGGAAGGAAGACCAAAAACGAAACCATTGAAAAGAAAAGAAATCAGCATACGGAAAAGAACTGGCACATGAAGAATAGGAGATGGGGCGAAGATGGAGGATGGACACGGAGGATGGATTTCAGTTGCGAGCTTCGGCATTCATTTCCCCAGTGCCGACACCGCCATGCGTTCGGAATTGCGTGAACTGTCTCTGAAGCGCTATAGGCCACTCAGGGGACCGCATATCGTATCGCGACGTTCGACGCGAGCGCCGCACCAGCGTTACGAGCGTGAACGGCGCAGCTGAAAAACGCACGTGCGCTGGACGTTTGGTTGCGTGGCTGCTCCACGCAACGAATATATCAGTGTGCAGGCACACCTTTTTTAAACCCCATGCATCACCGCCGTGGCGTATCTGACGTGTCGCGTACTCTGCAGAGCAAAGTGTTCGCAACCTCCACGTTGGCGCAGCAGGGCAAAAGCGCGCGCGTTCACCCGCGCGTCTGCCTATCTGGGCACATGCCTAGCTAGACCGTCCCGCGTCGGCGCTGCAGGTCAGAAGCGGACGGCCGCCGAAACTGTGCCGGCGAGTCTGCTACCTTGCCCGTCGGCGGTCTGCAACGCTACGTCTTGACGCTGGCGGCCGTGTGACCGTCGACCGTCCAGCAGCGGTCGTATATACATACATACATAAATGTATATCTACCTATGTGTATATACATATATGTATCTATCTATATATCTATATATATATCTATCTATCTATCTATCTATCTATCTATATATATATATTAGATATATGATTTTCCTGTGGCGTCCAACAAGCACTGGGCACCGATAGAGGAAGGAGATGTCGCCGATGTGTGCCGCACCGCTCCGGCCCTCGACGTGGGCCCGACGTGGGGCGCCGAGAGCCGCCCTGGGCGCCGCTGGGGCCTGCCACGGCGCCCCGCGCGCGCAGCCGGCGCGGCCGAATAACGGTCGAGCGCGGCACGGGGAGAGACCGAGCCCCTAGGGCAGCGAGAGGAGCAGGAGGAGGGGGGGGAGGAGGAGGAGGAGGAGGAGGAGGAGGAGGAGGAGGAGGAGGAGGAGGAGGAGGAGGAGAGGAGGAGGAGGAGGAGGAGGGGGAGGAGGAGGAGGAGGAGGAGGAGGGGGAGGGGGGGAGGAGGGGGAGGAGGAGGAGGAGGAGGAGGAGGAGGAGGAGGAGGAGGAGATGGAGAGGAGGAGGGGGAGGAGGAGGGGGAGGAGAAGGAGGGGGAGGAGGAGGAGGGGGAGGACAAGGAGGAGGAGGGAGGAGGAGGAGGAGGAGGAGGAGGAGGAGGAGGAGAGAGGAGGAGGAGCGCGAGGGCTCTCGCCGCGCACCGCACGAGGGGCCCCAGAGCACGGACGAGGAGGCGCACGGCCGTCGCGCACCCAGGTGGAACCGCCCCACTGCAAATACCCCCCCCCCCAGATTTTTAGGACGGGCATGTCCCCCTACACGCGAATGTTGGACGAAAACTTTATACATACACATAAGTATATGCATATATATATATAACGCCCAACAAACATCGAAAGTAGTCAAACATCATTTTCTGATGATTGTTGGACACTCCTCCTGGAGAGGGACGTGCCCGACTTAACCCCACATGGATCCGCCCACCTCACATTTCCTCCGCCTCTTATCAACCGCTACCGCCTCAACTGGCGTCGATGCACCCAACTCCTTCCCTTCTCACCACCCTCCCCCACCTGTCCCCTACCCCGACCAGTCTCCGTCGTATCCTGGGCCTCCACCGTGCCAAATCATCCTCCTCCTCCTCATCCTCATCATCATCATCACCCCTCCTCGTCAGCGTCCCCGCCCCTCCAGAATCCTTCTGTTCCTCCGACTCCCCCTGCTCATCCTATATCCCTCTCTCCGTCCCCCTTCCACTCCTCCTCCTCCTGTCAACTCGCCAATCCACCGATGCAGCAAGCTCGGAAGCCACAAAAGCATCGGAAGACTCCAATGGCGGTAATGACAAAAGGGGGTCGTTGCTCATGCTTCCCATCTCCTTCCTCTTCTGAGAGGGGGTGGAAAAGGGGGGCGGCGAAGAAAATATGTAATCAGAGGAGAAGGAGTGAGCGTGGAGGAGAGGCAGGAACGGATAAGAGGGAGGCGTGGAACGGGACAAAGGGAGAGAGGGAGGAAGGGAGGGGAGCAGGAGACGAGGGAGCAGAGGGGGCCGTGCACAGGAGAAAGGAACATCCAGAGAGGAATTCGAATGTCCAGGGGCGAAAATCCAAAATGGAAACATCCACACATTATCGCCGGCCGAACGGGCCGGTCGGCGTTCTGGAAGCTCTGATGACACGTCGTGGATGCGTCCTTGTGCTTCGCGCGCGCGTGGCGGCCTCTGGGGGTCCCCGGGCGACAAGGACCCCAGCGGCAACCCAGAAACCCCTTGGTCAGAGGTCGTTCTGATCCTGGGTGCGGACCAGGAGCGCACCAAGGAGACCCCAGTGAGTTGCAGGCGCGAAAGCATTAAGCCATGAGCGGCCCACGAAGGTTCAAAATTCACAAAACCCAAAGTGGGTCCCAAAGGGATCCCAATATGTCCCCAAGATGATGCGCAATTCATCGACATGGAAAAACTGCCTGCCGCCTCGGGGTATACTGGAGGCCGTCTTGCCCGTCTGATCCAGCATTTTGGAGCTGTCCTGGACCATCGAGTCACCCTCTTCATGCCCTCTTGACACGTCCTGGCCCCCCCGTGGACGCCCTACAGAGGGGCCCTAACTAATATAGTCGAGCGCATTGTGCCCCATCTCGATCTGCCCCTTGAGTTTTCGCCAACCGGCAGGGACAAGTTTGGGTGTTTACGAAAAGCGTGGATCTCTTGAGAGGGAGGAGAACGACGACGAGGACGAGGAGGAGGAGGGAGGCGGTGGAGGAGGAGGAGGAGGGAGGCGGTGGAGGAGGAGGAAAAGGAGGATGAGGGAGGCGGTGGAAGAGGAGGAAGAGGAAAAAGAGGAGGAGGAGGAGGACAGGACAGGAAAGGACATCCGAATAAGGGTGTCAACGTCAACTCACCTAGACTGGTGCCTTGCGCGCGTCTGCAAAATCCCCTGCGATTTGGTTGCGCGACAGCCCTGACGTCTCACTCGGGCCGGCAGGGGGCAGACCCCGAAGCTTCAAGGGGCAAGCTCCGAAAAGGCCCGTAAGAGAGGTTCGCTACCTTGTGAATGCGAGTCTCTGCGGGTCAGTTCGGGGGGAGCAGCTGTTGGCCCTTCCGCGTGCCCTGGGAATGGGGACGCGCTGGGCGAACGGGGCTCCCAAGCTAGGGGGGCATACACGGCGACACGACCACTCAAAAGGAGAAGGGGAAGGGAAACAGGAGGCCTCTGCTTTCCAATCTTCTGCTGGGAGGGCCTAGTTCTCCTACTCGGAGGAGGATCGGGCATTGGCAGAACTGGTTTTAGTGGAACCTGGTTTAGTGATCAGTACCAGGGGCGCCCCCCGCCCCGTTTCCACTAACCGGAGCTGCCGTCACCCGAAAAAACACCTGTTACGGCAAACCTGGTTTGGTGATTTCTGGCCAATTCAGGGGCCCCAGGACCCTACCACTGACCGGGTCCCCTTACCTGGGGTCCTGGCTATACCTGAGAGGAGGAGGAGGAAAATTGTTTGTTGCGTTTACACGTTCAAGTCTCTTGGGGCCCTCTTCGCCGATCTTGGACTCCCCAGGGCGTTCGGCCCGTCACTGTGGTCGTCGTCGTCGCCGCCGGGGTCTTCGTAATGTCGTCGCCGGCGTCGCCCACGTCTTCGCAGTCATCGTCGCCGTCGTAGATGACGCTGTCGTGGTCGCGGCCCTTCTCTCCTCCACCTCCAGGTGAACATCCACCTGCACCTTGCCCCTGCTCCTGATTCCCCTCGTCCTCATCTGCGCTTTCATCCTTCCCATCCCCCTCACAGGCTCCTCACCATCACACCGCCCTCCTCGCACCTCGCTCGCATTCCTCCCCCTTTTCCACGTCAACCTGGTCAACCAGGTGCTGACGGTTCTCCCGTCACTCCTGCTCGTCCTCCTGAACCACCCCCTCGTCCGCATCCTCCTGCACCTCCTCGCTGTCCTCCTCCGCCTCTTCCTCTTGTTGTCCTCCTGCGGATCTTGCCCTGCCACTCCTAAACCATCGATTCACGCCTCTGCTTTTACCTCCCCCACCTGGGCCTCCTCCTCCATCCCAGCATTTTTTTTTTTTTTTGTTCTCCGGTCAGCGGGCTGAGACCCCCGACGGGGCCGCGGGCTTGGAGCCACACGCACAGGGATAAAGCTGCACCTAAGTTGCAACTACGTCTTGCGAATATGTTACAAAGGCACGGTGGCGGGGTTTGCTGGAGGCAGCTGGATAGGTACACATCTTCATCCCAGCATTTCATCCTCCCGGGCCTCCTCCACCCTCACTCTGGATCTCCTCCGTACCAAGCCTCAGCTTCCGCTCGCGCACGGTCCTCATTTTCCCTCACAGAAGCGACCAGGCCCAAAGAAAGCAGAAGGCGGTGCCTGCTCCCTCGGGGGCGCTCCATGGAATAATAATAATAATAGTAATGTCAATAACGATAATAACGATAACAACAACAATAGTAATAATACAGGCTGCTGTCTGAGCGTCAAATACGTCTTCGCACGGGAGACGTCCGGACGCCTCCAGACGCTGCATGGGACCTCTCCGAAAGCTCTCTTGGGCTGTCTTGGTGCGATATCGGGTTAGGTTGGCCCGTCTTTGAGGCCCTCATGGACCGCCTCGAAAGCTTTTAAAGCGCTTGTGGACTCATGCTTGGCCGAGAACCCGAGGAAGCAACACAAAGTGGGAAACAAACGATGGGGCGTGAGACGACTATGGCCGCCTCGGGCATCTACTCCCGCACCCTAGAGGTCTCTTGGGGCCTCTTGTGATACTCCTGGCGCATCTCCGGCCGCATCGGGATGTCTCGGAAACCTCTCGGGCGGTCCTCCCGGCGTCTTGGAGCTGGCCTCAACCGTCTGGCCACCCCCTCGGGGCCGTTTCCGAACCGTCTGCGACGCCCCCCGGGCCCCCAGGAGACCCTTTTCTTGTGGTTTCGCCCGCCGCTTGGACAAGTTCACGTGTTCCTTCGAACCATGTTTCATGCTTCTTGGGGCTCTCCTGGCCCTGGCCGGCTGTTCGAAATCATCGTGCCCTGCGAGACGTAATGGACGCCTCATTGCGTGGCCATCTGCTGCTGTTAAACGCCTCCTGAATACGTTCGCGGTCACGACTCCGTATCGAGCTCGCGTCCAAGCGAAGATGTTCTAAAAAAGTGGGGCGGCGGTGCCTGCTGGGGGGCGCTCAACTGAACAGCAAGACCCTGAAATACGGAGGTCTAGGAGGGGGACGGATGCTGTCCAAAGCGGTTGAAGCCCAGCCAGGCATCCAGAGGTGACGACACTGTGCGCGGGATCCCCACGGGGGACCGCACCCCCCCGCGCGCCTTCGGCCACCAGGCCGCAATGTCCTCCGTCGGCGGCGCCGCGACGCAGCCCCGACCGTCGCCCGCTCCCCCGCCCTTCCCAACCCACTTCCTCTAAAATCATCAAACCCTGTCCGTCTCGCTTCCCCCCCTCCCCCTTCCGCTCGCTTCCCTGCCCCAACCTCCTTTCGCTCTCCCGTTTCTGCTATGTTTTGTTCCCGTGTGTGTGCCCAGCCCTGTCCAGGTGCTCCAGACACGGTCGGTCTCCCCACGGCTCCCGAGAGGGAGGAAGGGGGGAAGATCACACGATGCGCCAATACCAAGGATCGCTGCACTTGACAATAACCTTTGAAGAACTGGCAATACATTTCGCGGTATCGATACTAAAAACGTCGAACTCGTAATCAGGAGCCCACGGATTTGGAGACCGTCGCGCAGGTGACAGCCCCTTAGGGCGATGCGAAATTTAGTCTGGGTATGCGTGGGACCACTCCTCCTCCTCCTCCTCCGCCTCCGCCTCCGCCTCCGCCTCCGCCTCCGCCTCCGCCTCATCCTCCCTTCCCCCCTTCCTCCCTTCCTCCCTTCCTCCCTTCTTCCCTTCCTCCCTTCCTCCCTTCCTCCTCCTCCTCCTTCCTCCTCCTCCTCCTCTTCTTCCTCGTCCTCGTCCTCGTCCTCCTCCTCGTCCGCTGGACCTCCCATGAACCCACGGAAGTGGGGAATCTTGCCAGCCAGCAGCCCCCAGCGCGCCGCGAGGTCCAGTCTGGGTCTGCGTTGGGCACCGCTCCACCAAACGTCGCGGGAGCCCACGAGCATGGCGACGGTTTCGCATTCCGCAGCCACCCGAAGGACGGGGGATCCCGATTCGATAACGAGGCGCGCGCCTCAGCAGCAGCAGCAGCACCACCACCACCACCACCATGTACCGAAAACGGTCCGATTGAAAACAGACATTGTACACACAGATGGCGGGCCCCTCGGGGGAAAGAGGGCCATGGCACTCAGAGTGAATAGTTCTAAAACGTAGAAGCCAGGACGGGGGACTTCTCTGAGGCAGGACGCAGCGCTTGGGAGAAGGGGGGGCGAGGAAGGATCACGATTGATGGTGTTGGCTGGAAGGAGGAGGAGCGCGGAGGGAGGCAGGTTGAGGAGCGGGGAGGATGGAAAGGAGGCATGGGGAGGGAGGGGACAAAGGCGCGGGGAGATAGAACATATGCAGGAAGGACTGGAGAGGCGAGGGGACGGGTGGGGGGAAGAGGGACGGAGTGATGGCGGGTGGAAGGGAAACAACACATGAGTCTGCATCCATGGCCACATGTTTGTTCATTGGGGAAGCCAAAAGGTACCAGTACCGCTGCCCCCCAGACCTCTCCCGGGGTTTGATCTGACCAGAATTTCGAAGCGAATCCAGCGGTGGCGACGAGGGCCGCCCGGGACCCCCCCCAAAAAAAAAGGGAAAACGGGCGAAGGGTAGCGGTACGGGCACCCTTTCCTCGTCTGATTCATACCTCTACACACATGCACACACACACACACACCTATGGGCACAGAGGCGACATTACGGAGCCACGGACTTACAGCCCGCGGCAGGCGTGGCAACGACTGGTGCTGCCCCGGGGAGTCGCACCCGGGCGGCCGAGGGCGGGGGCCGGCCTCCCCGGCCCAGGGCGGACCCGGAGGCCCGCCGCCGAAGTCGCCGGCGCCGCGCGGCCGCGGGAGGGGCCGCACTCGCGCGCAGCGCGAGCGGCCGCGCGCAGCACGGCCCCATGCCGTCGCCGCCCAGGCCGGGGTCCGACACAGACGGCAGCCTCCTGCCACCTCCAGCCACTCCCATCCCGAGGGCCCTCCCCCGGGCTCCCACGTCCGAAGGCCACCCCCGCCGGTTCTGGAAGGGGCCGGGGGCAGAACGACAGCAGATCGGGGCACGGTGTGGCAGCTCAGGGCTTCGTCCCGCACCACCCGTGGGAGCGCTACCCGTGGGACTGCATACCAGAACAGGGCATGCGATCAACAGCGATGGCTGCGCGCTGGGCAGCCCAAACACAGGCTGGCGGTGCAGGATATGGAGGGGCAATTCCCCCACCAGTGCGCAACAGCCTCTCAGACACCCTGCGCGTTGGAAGTTTACACTGCCCGACAAGCTGCCTGGGGTCGAGAGTCGCCTTGAACCGCAGACCGAACAAAATTTCAGACCGTACTCTGGATGGAACAATAATCGCCCACCCCCCCCCCTTGGATCCGCTGACGGGGTTCAGCCTTCGGGCGGCAGGGGCCGCGGCTGCATCTGCCCTTGTTCCTGGCGGGCCCTTGGTCAGGAGGAAAAAACAACACAGACACAATGAAATGTCGACTCCCATGAAAACACTTCAAAATATGATAAGGGGAAGACGCGAATCAAGCAAATATGGGAACATATGGGGGATCCTGGGACTTCCTGAGTAGTGATAGCTCGAGCCAAGAAACTGTGTGGCCGAGCACGATATTGACTTACACCCTCGGCTTCGGAGCACGAACATCATTCCAAAGGGCAAATTTCAAAGACTCCAGCATGGCTCCCCTGGCACGCACGTGCGCCTGTGTGGCAATGACATCGCCGCGAGCCGACTCAGGAACGGGTGGAATGACCGAAATAACCCACCCCCTCTCTGCGGCTCACCCCGCACAGGCATCGACGTGAGACAAAATGTTTTGGAACGGTGAGGTGGTAAGCTCAGCATCGTCCTGCTGATGGGACGGTGGCCATATCGCCACGACGAGCCTAGCCCCCCAAAACACACACACACACACACGCACGCACGCACGCACGCACGCACGCACACACACGCACACACACACACACGCACAAACACACACACACACACGCGCACACACGCACACACACACACACGCACACATGCCCCCCCCCCACTGTCCAGCGAGACTCATTTTGAGTCGCTGGTCAGTATTCGTGCCGACAGCGGCCGCGAAACAGTCCGCATCCCACCCATCGGCAACAAGGCCAACAGGGCCTTGATAATGTTCTGCGCAGTCGAACTCGAGCTTTGGCGTACTCGAATTTTACTTTCCCCCGAAGTGGACGGCGGCCCTGTAGCTTCGCTGCGCCGCCTGCGGCAGGTCGGCCAAGGCCCTAAGCCCGCGTCGCCGCCCCCGGCAGTCCCGATGCCAGGCCTGGCTGTGGGAACCTCCGGTGGCAACTCATGGGGACCTCCCGTGCCGGCTGGTCAGCTCTTGCGAGTCGACGCTGCTCGACGCTGAATCGACGCTAACCGGCGCACAGTCGACGCTAGATCACCGACTCCCAGACGCTAATCGACGCGAGCCGACGCGCTAAATATGGGAATCGAGAGGGTGCGGAATGTACGGGGGTAACTGAATGGAGTACAGAGAGACAAAAGTACAACTAGGGGGGCCCGTGCCGAGAGAGAGTTAGAGAGAGAGAGAGAGAGCACGTTCTCTTTCCTTTTACCAGGGCTCGCGCGCGCCCGCGGCGAGCGCGCCAAGCAACTCGAGGGCCCTGCGAGCCAGAGCAGCAGCAGGGCAAGGGAGGTGAGACCGAGGCGCAGGAGGAGGCGAGGCTGACATGAGATTCGCCACCACAGAGGGCACACCAGGCTCCCATGATTCTCGGGGGCGCGAAAACATGGATCAACGACCCATGGATTTGCCGTGCGGTCGCCGAATCCATGGATCGAGGGAGGTGCCCTCCCCAGAATGCAGCCGGGGCCGCCTCGCTCGGCGGCGACAGTCCGCGGTTTCCCATGGAAACGGGACCCGTCGCTAACCCACCCTTGATCCATGTCTGCGATCGCCTGCGATCTGCTGCCGATGGAGCCCCCTCGCCGGCGGGACGGCTGCGCGGCCACGGCGAGCGGCAGCTCGTCCGACGGGGGCCGCGGCGGCCGGCGGCGGGCCGCGAGGGCAAGAGCAGCAGCGGCGGGACAGGAGGCGCGGAGCCACGGGGGGAAGAGCACAATGCGGGTTAGTGAGTCAGACGTACCCTTGAGGCGCGCCGATCCATCCGAGAAGAGGCTGGCCCCACTTACTTTACATGAGGCGGGGCCTCACCGCGATCGAGCAGTGGACCACGGAAAAAGAGGCCCCCCACCGAATAGGAAAGAGCGGCGTGCCGGTGCTCAACGGCCAGAGGCCAGAGCACGGATCTCCAACGACAAGTTCTGCTTTGAAACCCCCGCCAGAACACTCCGCCCCCCGCACAGTACGGAGCGGCACCACGGCCGATGCCTGTGCGTGGCGTGCAACTAGCAGGGGATGTGTCGACCCCCCTTTAGTAAAACGTGGTTTAGTGAAAACGACCTGAAGCCCAAACCTGGCGGGCGCAAGCCTGGAACATAACGGCCATGGCGCCATCTCGAGAACCGAAAACGGACAATTCACTAATCGACGTGTCACTGTTGGGGGTTCTGTCCACCCCCGAAAATAGCAGGGGATGTGTCGACCCCTGTCCCAATGCCTCGTGGGGTTGCCGACTGGACCCGCAGGATGTGGGGCCAAGCTCGGGGATGCACGAGGGGCGGGGCGTCAGGGCCTGGAGAAGGGTGCGCCCGAGTGGCCCCCCCTGGGGGTGCATCCCAGGGCAACCCTCCTTTTCTGAGCGGATTGATTTTTCGTCGAGAGTTTGGGTATGTGGGTAGACAGTCCAAAATGTGCATTTTGGTGCCCAGTCGATGTCCACTACGCCTGCAGCTATTGTTTGTTCTGGAGCGCCTCGGCACCTCAGGACAAACAATAACTGGAGGCATAGTGGAAGCAGGACTCGGAGAGTACCGAAGTGATCCATTCCCCTCCCAGTGCCCCATACTCCTCTCCCCCTCGTGAAAACGTCAGGTGAGGTGGGATCTCCTGGACGACGCTCCACCACTTGTGGTCGGCGTCGATGTACACGACGTCCAGACTTTCGTCCCTCAAAACACAAACACACTACGCAAGTATCATTTGTCATGGAACGGGGGAAGAAACCAAGAGAGCGATTGAGAGCAAATTAAGAGGTATGAAAAAAGGAGATTTGAGCAGGGCAGCGGTGGGGGGATGATAGGAAGGGGAGAAGAGACTCGTTCGACGGGCGGCAGCTGAGCCTGGAGACTGACACCTGTCTAGCTCTGGGCTGCGCCCCCTGCAAAAAAGAGGCTCTCCTCCTGGCCCCAGGGCGGCGCCCCACCTGCAGTCAACCCGTACGCGCTAGGGCCTCGTGATCGCGGGGGTGCATGATGCATCTAGGCGCCAACCCTCGCGACATGTGTTAGAGCCGAGATAGGCGTAGCTGGCCTCATGTCCGCGCTTCCGCTCGTTCCGAATCGTGCTCCCGCTGCAGCGCTGGCCTCATTATTTCCAGCGCCATGCCACGGCATGGTTTCCGGTCCTTCCAAGTAGGCCCCAAAATCTAGAAAATGCCACCCGAAAAAAACATCGGAAGTGATCATACAGTCGGTGCCGATTCGTTGATTTCTGGGCCGCAAAAACCTCACCACTTTGGGGCGTCACCACGCCATGCTATGTCAGGCTACGTGTTGATCAGCAACACCATGCTATGTCATGTAATGCAATGCCCTGCTACGACATCCGACTATGCGAATAGAGAGGCTACGCCATGGCAAGGAATGGGAGGTAGGGGTAGGACGTCAGATATGAGGCGAGCGCATCTAGCTTGTCCTCCTCCTCCTCATCCGTCCCTCCGTCCCTCCCTCCCTCCCTCCGTCCCTCCGTCCCTCCCTCCCTCCCTCCTCCTCCTCCTCCTGCTCCTCCTCCTCCTCCTCCTCCTCCTCTTCCTCCCCTATCGAAGTCACATATCCTCCTTCTCGCCCACCACGGGCACACAGACATCTCCTAGCAACCGTGGCACGTGGTGCAAAATAAAACGGCGGAATGAGCGAACCGAGTACACCAAACATCCACGTCGCTGGGGGCGAAAGGGGGAGGGGAGCGAGGGGGTGGCGGTGGAGCCGCCTTTTAACGCCCCCTTTTCGATTTCGGGCGCGTGAGTGTTGCTGCGCCCTCGGAGAAAACCCGCTGGGGCCGTCTTCGACCCCCGCCCCTCTCGCACTCTGGTAGCATTCAAATTTCCCCCTTTCTCTTGACCAAGCAACGTTCCCAAAAAGCGTTGGCTGGCAGTGCGCGGCAACAGCGTCCCTGCAATTGACACCACCAACTGCCAGCCCCATCCTCCGACGTCGGCCTCACGATTATCTGTGCCACCTCCTTCTCATATCACACCAGAAACTCCTGGAAACAAGCACACACACACACGCACACACACACACGCACATACACACGGCATGGTGCTACAAGAGCACGCCGACCCGCCGAACGACAGGAGCCTGGTAACAAATGGAGAAACACACGAGATCTTACTCACCCCTTCTTCCGTTGATTTGCGTCGTGCGCCAGCCTCCCCTCGAGAGAAATCTGGAAACGTTGCGCTGTTGCATCCTTTGGGGGGCCTCGCCGGTCCCCAAAATTGGGCTTTTCGTCGACGCGGATCCGACGCGGTTTCGTCACGGATCTGACGAGTCCGACATGGATCCGGAGGTAGGGGAAATAGGGTGGTACACGGCGTGGGCGTTTCAAGAAATTGGATGTCGTGCAGGTGTTCGATTGGGTGATGTGCGGTATGTTACGTTGTGCGGCGGTCTTTGTGTGGTAAGCGATGCAGGATGAGAAGGAAGGGAGGAAGGGGAGAAGGGACAAATAATAAAGGAATCATGCGACAGAAATTGCGAGAATCATACGGGAAAACGATCATTGGGAACAGTTGTTCGCTTATACAAAAAACTAAGCCTTCGGACCAACAAACATAAAAAAAGCAAACAACCCACACATATCAAAGACACCATTCGTGTGTCAGATTAAAGCAGAGAAAAACACTTAGCGAAACCTTGGTGTTGGTGGTATCCTTTTTGAATGTTTATCTACAAACTAATGTGGTTTGAATCGTCAAAGGTTTTTTCTGATGTTTCTGATGTGCGGCTTGCCCGAAACCTTGGCCCCGTTAGTTTTTAAGCGGGGAACAGAAGGGGGGGGAAACGAAGATCAGAAAAATCAGGAAAGCAATGAAATTCAAAAAACCCATGGTTTTGCAAGGAAAAACCAGAAACACAAACTAAGCGACACCTTTTTAATGTTTCGGATTTTTCTATCGAAACCCAATGGTTTCTTTGAATTGTCATTGTTTCTTTTCTGATTGTTCGGATGGTCTGCTCTTTCGGATTTCTTTCCGAAAGCCTTGGTTCCACCGTTTTCCCCTAGGGTTTGCTTTCTCTTATGCCTGGATTGAGACATATTCGCTTCCTTATGCTTCTCTTTCACTCCCGCCCTCCTTCCCTCCCTCCGCAGCGTTTCACCCCACCACGATCAACGCAGATCTATGCGTTTTTCTTCCATTGCTGCGATGCAGATGCGCACTTCGCTTGCGTGCAACCTGATGCAATGTTACGGCGCGGCAGAACCACCTACTCGACGCAATATGTTGCGACAGAGCACGACCCGCGAACTCCGTAGCCATTGTGGCCCAAGCGGAGTCGCAGATGCACCCACCGGTGTTTTGCAATGGTTGCCGTTACGCGTGCGTACGAACGCTGCACCACAAAGTGAGGGCCACTGAACAGACCATTGTTTGCCACTGTATCTCTATATCGTGCATTCAACATGCACTGTCTATGGGCTGATGGCGACTTGACACAAAAAGGCCCTGTTCGATTGAAAGAACATGGGTTGAAAGATGCACGAACATGGGGAGAAGCACTCTGGCTCAATATCCCGCAGGACGCACAACAGCTTTCCGAAGCGACTCTGGAAAAGAAATCGCTTTCAGGCGACCAAGTACTGGAGAAGCTGAAGTTGAATCATTCGCCTGCTTGCTTGAACCCGCCTGATCTGATATTTCACATAACTGCATGCCGCGTGCAGGCAGCTTCTTGGAAAGAGGCGAACTTTTTGTTGATGCGGATGTATCTCAGTGGTGGTTTGCACGTTCTCATGTGTTTCACTGTGTCGGCTGCTGCCGATGCGACTACGACGGGCGAGGAAGCTGAGGAGACGACGCTGCAATACAAATCGGCCGACGGCTGGGAAACGAAGCGGCAAAGTGTTGATAGTTTACACCGCTTGTTGCAATATTGTGACCAGAAATTGTTTGCAAAAGCTCTGCATGTGTGCGCTGCAATAATTGAAAGATCGCATCCGCGGGCGCTGTACCAGACGCCACCCGTTGAAGGCACCACCAAAAGAGCCGACAAAACGAATGCCATTGCTGCGCATATATACGGAAGTTTGCCGGACTGGCTTGGTCATGCGGCGTCCATCATGCAAGCGTGTGCCAACGATACTCAAACGTAGCAGGCAAAGTTGGATCTCGCGCGGTTCGATGCGTACCGCGGTTATCGGCGCGAGGGAGTTTTACTCGGCGCCAAATAACTAACTGGTCCAGGCATGCTGCCGTCGGGGTTGCAGTTGACCCCGTGCACGATGTAGAAAACGGACGTCTCAGACGCCGTTGAAGGAGAGCGCGTTGAAGATGGATATGATGCGAAAACAAAAGTCACGCGGTGCAAAAATGGAACGTCGCAGGAGCAGTGATGCCGGCACGCTCTGCATTGTGTTGTCGCTCGAGTTCGCTGCCGATGCCTTCCATCGCGACGCGCTGCGATGTGCAATGCATGCGTGCGGCTGCGCCCAAACGTCGGGGTTTGCTCCAGGTATGAAGAAATGTAAGATGATCGCCAGTTTGGTGATGGGATACAATGCTGAAACATATCGCTGGTGCGAGCTAGGCCGCGGTCTCAATTTGCCGCAATTACAGGAACCGACGAAACGAAAATGCACGATCACGTCCATGATGCGTGTGCGCGGAAAATCACATGAATGAAAAAGTGTTTCGCCGCCGTGATTGCTGATGTTGCCGCGGAAGAATTGGATGAAGATGGTACGGGAAAACTGCCGTTATGAATATCACACCAATTGCTGCCATCGTCACACCATCGTGTACTTCAGCTCTCGCCGTTCTGGAACCAGCCAAATCGCATTTTGCCCGCGGCAACAGAGTCTCAGCTCGCCCCATGACCTGAAGATGGGCACCTAACATGGGACTCGTGCGTTCGGTTGGGGAGCGGGGCCAGGTGACCCGTGAGTCCCATGGTGGCGCTGTGTCCGCTCTCCCTGGGGAGCGAGCCCTGTGTCGCATGCCAGCTCTTTGGGCAAGGGTCGATAGCAAGGAAAGACCTCGCAGCCGACGTGAACCGACCGTCCTCCTACGAGCCACGCCCTCTCAGTTGGGAACCATTCGTGGGGCGACGAAGTGGGTTCTTACCCCCTGACTTTCAGTTGCGGCGTGTCTGGACCCTTTGATTTTTTGTTGCTGCGGGAGGCGGAGGGAAACGAGCGGAGGCGGAGGGAAACGTTTCTCTATGCTTCGAAACTCCAAGACTGTATTTTTCGGATCTGCAAGCAGGTCTGCTCGCAGGCGTCGAAGGCGGCCGTGCGGTCATTCAGCACAACAAACATGCAACGCCGACCTTGCGCGGGAGAGGAAGCGGAGTAGGAGGAAAAGGATTTGGAGGAGGGGGAGAACGAAGAGGGAACATGATGGAAGTTTCTGGTTAGTCGGAGGTTTATTGAGTGGCCGTCAATCAATCCCTACATCGTGCCTGAGCCGTGGCCGAAGTGGTGGTTTCTTGGACTTGCGTTGGCAGCCCGCCCCTTTGAAACTGTTTTTCATCCTCCTCGTCCTACATCCTTCCTCCTCCCTTCCTCCTGCGTGCTCTCTCTCTCTCTCGTTCTCTGTGTGTCTCTCTCTCTCTCTCTCTCTCTCTCTCTCATTATCTGTATATATATGTATCGTTCTCTCTCTCTCTCTCATTATCTATATATATATATATATATATGTATTTCTCTCTCTCTCTCTCTCTTTCTCTGTTTCTGTCTCTTTCTCTCTTTCTCTCTCTTTCTTTCTCTTTCTCTCTCTCTCTCTCATTATCTCTCCGTCTCTCTGTCTCTCTCTCTCTCTCTTTTTCTCTCTCTCTCTCTCTCTCTCTCTCTCTCTCTCTCTCCCTGCTCAGTGGCAAGGGGGAACTGGACGACGTGCGAGAGATACAAAAAACAACAACACCAATGCATTCAATAAGCTTGCGCGGCTCCGTCAATCACAAGCGAACCAAGACACGCAACGTCGTCGTCGTCGTCGTCGTCGTCGTCGTCTCAGAGGACAGCCGACAAGTGTACCACCTTATCCCCCTGCTCTCTGGATTCGGCACGATCTCGACGCGGTAGGGTCGCGACGGGACAGATAGAGCCCCGCGAAGATGCGACGTAAGATACGTGTGCGGTACATGATCTCATCCCGTTCGGGGGGCCCCTCCCGGGGACCCCGAGGCGAATTTGTGTTGACTTTTTTCTGCGTGAGCCAAATTCACCGCCGGTCTGCAGCAGCAGCACAACTACAAGCACCAGCCATAGCGCCCTCAGCTTCAGCGTCGGCCTGACAATTCTATCTTCCCTCTCTTACCATGCCACACCAAATTCCTAGAAGCACGCACTTAAAGCCGGCGGCGTTAAGGACCTCACGCGCGGTTGGCAGGTGGATGTGCCAATTGCAAACCAACTTAGTCAAACGCGCCATGATGAAACAAACCAGTCACGGCCATGCGAATTTGTGGTGGAACTAAAAAGGATTTGCAATGCCAAAGTGCAGCGGCCAACAAAAAGACGTAAGCTCGACGAGATGCGGAGGAGTCGAAGCGCAAGCAGCAGTCTTGTGCGAATCAAAACCTCGAAGAGGCAACACTGAGATCTGTAAGGCTGCCAGACCGGCCAACTTGGTGGTGGTGCAAACATGCAGGGAAATTGCGCGACAAAGTAACCCCAGCCACCTTGCAGCATGCAACTAACATATTGAAAGACCGTGCCGAAGGGCGCATGACATCGAAGTGATAAAGATGACCGCGCAACCGGAGCTGGCATGGTCTTGGACAGCAAGACGTACGCATGCGCACGTATCTTCGATACCCCCCTTGCAAGGCGCGAGCCCTCTGACTGCGTATCCCCAGCGGCTGCACGCCAAGACGTGCTCAAAGCTCCTTGCCGACCTCTTGCGTCGTCGTCCGGAGCCTCTTGTAAAGGGAAATTAGGACACGCAAATAAATACACACAAATAAAAATAGTCCCCATATTTTCCAATTTTTTGGGGGGGGGGTTGTCTTCCCCCCCAATTCCCATATTTTCCCATATTTTCCTGGGAATCGAGGATTCATTGTGTCTGTGTGTTTTTTTCCCTCCTGATCTTGGGCCCTCCAGGGCCGTGCTGGGCCTCCTCAGAGCAGGCTGCGGACTCCAGCAGAAGGTCTGGCGCCGGTGCCTGGCCCATCAGGGGCGTTCGCCTGAGTAAGAGATCCTTGCGTGGGGGGAGCGAGGGGTGGAGGTGGCCAAGGGGGAGGAGGAGGAGGAGGAGGAGGAGGAGGAGGAGGAGGAGGAGGAGGAGGAGGAGGAGGAGGAGGAGGAGAGGGAGGAGGAGGAGGGCATGACCAGGAAAAGTACAAGGGTGGAGAGACATCAAACGAGGGCCATGCACGGAAAGGCGGGCATCGATCTCGGTCATCGTGAATCTGTGGACCGTCCTCACGGATCGGCGATGGCGGCAGGAACCATGCCCAGTCCTAGGTCGGGCATGCCCTCCTGCAGGCGGACTTGAAGAAACGTGACACGTAATCAAGAATGCGCAACATCTACTCAGACATAGTCGAAGCATCGTCCCCAGACCGATGGCTGACTAAACTTGAAGATTTCCCCTGCAGAGCGACAGGCCGGGCAGAGGACCGGCCCTGCGACACGCTGGTCGTGGTCGCCGTCTCTCTCCTCCCTCGACGGGGGAGGGGGGCATGCGCGGGAGATCGAGGTGGGAGCACAGGGTCGAGCAGGGGACCGCCTGCAGAATCGGCTTGCCGCAAAGATTGACTTCTCCCCTCGGACCTACGACGAAGACGCAGATGTTTCGCAAAAGTACTGACGGGTCGGGCATGCCCTCCAACAAGGGGATTTTGGAAGGCACATTAGAAAATCGTCTTAGATAGAACAACATTTAAAAAATAGAACAAACGTAACATTAAAAACGTCCCGGGATTATTCTTGACTATTTTTGAATACTCCTCCTGTACAGGCACAGGCCCGACTTAAATCTACGGGGGATCCTTCGCATGTCCGGAGGCTCGACGAGAATTCAAATCCCGGGGAACAGAAACACAACTCTGTTGGCGATCCCCTATACCCGAAGGGGGGGGGAAGCGGGCCAGGGCGAAGAGAGCGGAAACAAGGGGGATGCGGAGCAGAGGGCGGGCGCGCCGGAAGCTGCTAGCAGCGCCGACCGAGGTGGTGCGGTGGAAGTACACGTCGAAACGCCCCCGCGCCAGCTCCAGCGCAGCCTGCACAGGGCCTCGCCTCCTTTAGAGGCCACCTGGATGGGGTCGGAATCCAATCAAAAACCCTAATAAGGACGCGCGGTAAGGACGCAAGACCCTTGGAAGCCGAAGTTGGGATTTTTGGGGCGGCGGACGCCGAAAACCCCAAGGACGCAAGAGCAAGGAAGAGCAAGGGTACCCTGAGCAAAGTCGCGCGTCCTTATTCGGGTTTTTCACTGTAGATGGGATCGGAGGATCGGGCCGCATCGCCGATGCATCGGCGATGCATCGGTGATGCACTGGCGACGCAACGTCGACGTCGGCGACGCACCCGTGACGTCGACGTGGAAAACATCGGGCCCCACATGCAGCCACATCGGCGATGCCTCGGCGATGCGGCGCGATCCTCCGACCCCATGTGCTCCGACCCCATCCAGGAGGCCTAACGTCCTTCCTCCTCCTCCTCCTCCATCGCCACTCTTCTGTCACGAAGGCCACGGAAACCGGCCTGGACCGTCGCTTCGTCCTCGCTGCCCTCGCATCAACGATTATGGAAGCCATCAGAGTGCAGCACCGAAGAGCGGAAAGGTTGAGACAGATGAAACCATCGAGCAACGACTGGCGCAAGTGTCGAAACGTGCGGCTTGCAGACATTGGGGAAACCACAGAAGGTACGGATACTGCTACCCCCCAGACCTCTCCCGGGATGCGTTCTGACCAGGATTTCGAAGCGAATGCAGCGGTGGCAACGAGGGCCTCCGAGGAGGCCCAAAAGGGGAAAAGCGGGCGAAAGGTAGAGGTATGGGTACCTGTCCTCCTCCGAGACATGGGCCCATGTGGCATTCCCCCTTCTCGTCACCCACGTCATCATTAACCCGTCGTACCCGCTGCGCCGAAGGCCACTAGATCGAGCTGGCGCGTTGTCCTGTCTCGAGCTGCTCGAGAGAGCAACGCGACATCAAGCTTTGCTCCTTTCAGGGGACCCTGACGAAACGTAGAGTGTCTCCTGCCATCCCCAGACTATGTTTTGACTACCTTTGACTGTTCCTCCTGTAGAGGGACATGCCCGACTTGGGACTACGCCAGGCTGGAACTCCACTGGACGGAACCCCAACTTGTCGCCACTGAGGGGCGGCAAAGACGAGCCACCAGGTTCACCCGGTGACCCGTCTCGGCCTCCAGGCACATCGGGGCCCAACGTTGCACGAAGACCTCGACGATCTGGAGGGGCCCTCGGAGGCGCGCAGACATGGATTCTCGATCCATGGACTTGGCGCGCGGTCGCCAACTCCATGGATCGGGGGAGGTGTCCTCCCCACAATCTGCGGCTGGCGCCGCCTCGCTCGGCGGCGGAACCCCGCGATGTCCCACAGAAGCGGGACCCGGCGCGAAGCCACGCCCCCTCGGTCCGTGTTTGCGAGCGCCTGCATCAGGCCTTGCTCCTCCTCCTCCTCCTCCTCCTCCTCCTCCTCCTCCTCCTCCTCCCCCTCCTCCTCCCCCTTCTCCCCCTCCTCCTCCTCCTCCTCCTCGTCCTCCACCTCGTCACCCTCCGCTCCCCCGCTCAATCGCCCTCGCGCCCCCCCCCCCCTCCAGCACAGGCGGGGCGGGCGTGGGTCACACGACCTGCGGGCCGCTCCCGGACGCCGCAGCGTAAGGCACCTCTCGCTGCGCACCGCCGCGCACCCCGTTCTCACCATCTCCCCCTCCCCCTGGTCCTGCCCCTCCTCCTCCTGCTCCCCCTCCTCCTCCCCTCCTCCTCCTCCTCCTCCACCTCCCCCTCGCACAGGAGCCAAATACAATCGCGGCCTGTTTCAACGAGAGAGCTGGGGCAAGATGATCAGGAACTGGGGAGGAGAGAGCGAAGGCAGGGGGGGGGGGCCTACCACGGGTAGGGGGGAGGACGGGTGCGAGGGGGGAGACAAGGAACAAGGCACACCTGCGAGAGGACGACGAGGCCGCATGAGGCGGACGGGGTGGGAGGGCGAGACAACGGAGAGGACCCAGCGAGGCTAAGGAGGAGGGCGGGCAGGCCGGGCACAACTGCGGGATATGTGTCCCTTTGGCTCCCTGCGGGCGCGGTCATTGCACTGGCCTTTGACAAGGGCGGCGGAGGGGGGGACCCTCATACAGTCAACCGGTATTGCAAGGAAGCGCGTTAAGGATGCAATGGCCTCGGAGGGCCATGCCGACACGTTTGCGAACGAGGCGCGGCCAGCGAAAGTGGCCAAGGACTGGCCGAGGAGGCATGCATGCAAGGGTGACCTTGGAAAAGTTGCCCATCCTTACTATGCGGGTTCAGTGTACTGCTTGCTGCGCGCAGGCCAACCAGCCCTGTCAACAACGCGGCACACAAGACACAGCACGCTTTGACTCCAAGTCCGGTGCGTGCCCCCGCGCCCCGTGACCTCATTGCGGTGTTTGACGGGGACGGCGTGGGTGCCCTCGTATTGCTCACTGCGCGCAGGCCAACAAGCCCCGTCAACTTACACTACGCATACACGTTGCATCCAAAATTTGAGCGTGCGCGGGCGCGCCGCGACCATTCTAGATTGGTCTCTGACAGGTACACTCGGGTGCCACTAATCTGGTGGGAGGGCGGGTGGGAGTGAGCGAGACGTCTTGCGCCTTGTGAGCAGGAAATGCCTTGATCACTGTTCCTTAGTAGTGAACACCTCCTCGGCAACCCGCCCGGCGACGAACCAGGGGCACTGCCAACCCCAACTACCCTTGGAAAGAGCAATACAACGTGCACTGCAATAAAATCTGGATCAGGCGGGGACGCCCCGCGATTATGTTGCATGTTGTTTGAAAGGGATGGTGAGTGTGCCTACATCTTGTCCTGCCTGCGCACTGCCCACCCCCCCCAACCAACCTTTGCATAACAACAATACTAACTGTTATTTGCACTTGTATCTAGCTCATGCGCGGGCGCCCCGCGATCACTCTATGCATTGGTTTGTGACAAGGACGGCGGGGGGGCAACATGTTGCCTGTTGGGTACGCTGCCAACACATACGCACAACGCCCCTCGCGAACGAAAACTATCGAACACCAATTATCCCAGTGCGACCTTACCTAGGAGTTGGAGCCTCTAGGAAAGCAGACGGACAGCATGCATGGAACATACGTGCGCACACACATATAAGTACAACATTGCTTTGCCGTGCTTTGCGTTGCGTGTGCTTTGCTTTGCTGTCGCTGCTGTTGCTTTGCCTTTGCTTTGCTGCTATGCTATGATATGCTCTGCTATGCTATGCTATGATGCGCTGTGCTATGCTGTGCTGTGCTGCGCTATGCTATGCTATGCTGGGCTATGACATGCTGCGCTATGCTATGCTATGCTGGGCTATGCTATGGTATGCTGTGCTGCGCTATGCTAAGCTACGCTACGCTATGCTATAATGTGCTCTGCTATGCTAAAGCTCAGCGAAGCTAAGATGAAGGTCAGCTAAGCTAAGATGAACCTGAGCTAAGATGAAGCTAAGCTAAGCTAAGATGAAATACGCTAAGCTAAGATGAGATAAGCAACGCTAAGCTAAGGGGACGTAACTGGGGGAACCGCGGGGCGGATACCGGGGGAACCGCCCGGGGCGAGCCCCACTGCCCGGCCCCTTTAAGAAAGAGCGTAAGAACCCTTCTAGACAGAGCCTAGGTAGGGAATACACGTTGCACCCATACAGAGCAGGATCATGCGCGGGCGCCCCGCGATCACTTTGCGTTGGTTCTTGGCAAGAACGGCTGAGGGGCCGGCAAACTGTCTGCTTCGTGCTGGCACGCCCTCCCAGTCAACACGTGCAATGTGATCCCGCGAACACACACATTACACAGTGTTGGCGAATCCGCCGCCAGCACTGTGCATTCGTTGTTGGCAGGGACGGTTGGAGGGTCGACATATTGCCCAATGTGGCTGACGTCTGCACTGGTTCCTGACGGTTGTCGATGGCGGCCACTGCCTACGTTGAGACTCGGGTGCTACTAATGAAATGGGAGGGCGGGTGGGAGTGAGCAAGACAGCTTGCGGCGTTCCCGCTGGAAACTTGACCCCTAACCCCTAGTTACCCCGTACCCATGGGTCTGGACGGGTGTGGGCGGGGTCGCTAGAAGGCGTCCAAGACTGCCCCAGAGAGCTCGAGATGGCCTCCAAGATCGCTCGAGAAAACGCGAGGTCGCCAAAATGGCTTTCGACATGCTCCAAGAGGTCCCAAGACCGCTCCAAGACGGGTACAAGTGGCTTTGGGGACTCCCCGAGACGCCAGGCCGATATTATTCCAAAACCTCAGGAACAACCATGATGTTGGCCTTCTCGCCCGTTCGCTTACGATGGCTTTCCAGGGCCTCAAGATGGCTCAAAGAAGGCCCAAGAAGGACCCGAGAGGGGCCCAAGAGGGTTCCAAGACGGCCCGAAGAGCGCCCAAGAGCGCCCCAAGGGACGACTTTAGGCGCTCTCGAGGGGCAGGGCTAATCAAAATGCCCCCCGTCTTTCGTCGATGTCCTTCAGGCAGGTTGGCCGAACGGGCCTCCAGGGCCTCAAAGAGGGCCCCACGAGGCCCCTGAGAGGCCCCCGTGAGGCCCCCAAGAGGCACCCAAGACGCCCCGAGAGGACGCCGAGATGCTCCAGGAGGCCCCAAAGACGCCCTTACACCAAGAGCCCCCTCAGGAGACATCCCGTGCGACCCCGAGAGGCCAGGCGACCCCGAGAGGCACCCGAAGAGGCTTCTGGCTCACCGAGGCTTCCCCGAGGCCTCCACCTGAGACAACGCTCCCCCGTGCAGCTCCGAAGGGCATCGTGTCTGGATGGGCCGGTGTCGGCTACACGCAACGAGTGACCCTGGGCAAGAGCGACCTCTTGCGCGCGGCTTCTTGGGGGCCGCGGGGGGACCAAACCTGGGCGCACACGCCGCTGCTCCTGCTCCGTCTTCGGCCCTCTGGGGACCCCTCTGCGCCCGTACCAGAGGTCACTCCGGCGAAGGGTCACTCTTACGTCCAATCGACGGTGAGGGTGCGCGACGCGCGCAACAATCGGGTCGGGCGAAAGGGGGGGGATAGCAAAGGGGGGGTTTGAGAATCGGCTCACGCAGCCGACTCTCCCGGCGCCTCCCGGCGCCGGAGGCGCCCGTGTATCGAGGCATGGGCCCCCTCGGGGAGGCCGAAACCAGCTGCGTGCAGGAGATTTCGTACCCCCCACCCCTTTCCCAATCCCCCCCTTTCGTCCGGCCCGAGAGGAGGAGGAGGGAAGGAGGAGGGGGAGGAGGGGGAGAGGAGGAGAGAGGAGGAGGAGGAGGAGGAGGAGGAGGAGGAGGAGGAGGGGGAGGAGGGGGAGGAGGAGGAGGAGGAGGGGGTGCGCGACGCGCGCAACAGCAGCTGGAGCACCGGCTCGGTCCGCCGGGACCGCTCGCGCGGCGGGCGCGCCCGCGGGCGCCGCGGTGCCTCGCGGCGCCCCTCCCCGCGGCGTGGGCGGCGCCGCCGGGCTCTGCCCGGGCGGCGCCCGCCTGGGCGCCTCGTGGGCGCCCCGTGCTCTTCGCACGGCACGGCTCACTGCGCTGACGCCGCGCTGATTGCGCCGAGGAGCTTCCGCCGCAAGGCCTGCCCCTCGTGGCAGTCGACGCACGGCTTGCGTCCGTCGAGCTGCCGCACAATCTGGCTTTTGCACCACGCAGAGCCTGGACCACCCGCTCTGCCACACAGTGTCTACACATGGCCCACAGTGCGCAGAGCTCTCGCCACACTGCTGGCAGCACGCATGCCTTGCACCACAGGGCTTGCACCAAACACACACACACATACAAATATACATACATACATATAAAACACCATGCACCGCAGATAGTCAAGGATGGACGGAGGGAGAGATGAGGATATGTCTGCGCGAGTACACCAGTGAAGCGAGCAAGGCAACGTTGAGTAATCAAGAATGGACCCATAACCCTTTAAATGGGGGACCTAAGTCAGGAAGGCCAAAACAAACACATTCCATTACGGATAATGGGTCTTCTCTGCAGACGTATCTAACAAACCACCTGGACTTCTACAATCCCTGATGCAAAGACGTCGACCTCAGCGAGGCCACGTTTGTTCTGTGTTAGTAGGGTTAGGGGTCTTTTATCCCCGATGAAACGCGCACCGTTTCTGCACATACAACTCCGAGCACAAAAGGTCGATCCGAGCCACGTACGCTTCTGACCATCAGAAACCAGGCAGCCGACGGGGCGCGGGCACGGCTTGGTGGCCAATGACAGTGAAGAGCAGCAGCGCGAGAGTCCCGCCCCAAACGTGCAGGAGGCAAGAACGAGCACGGAGGCATCGAAGTCCATGTACGAGTGGGGGGAAGTGAGGAGGAGAAGGCCTTCTCAGGCGGCGGGACTTCTCAAAAGCCCTTGCGCCTTCTGAAAAGTTGTCTGTCTTCGAGAGGGTCTACAAGACTTGTCAAAAGCTGGGGAACTTCCGAGCCTTCTGAGGAGGCCTTCTTCTTCTCACTTATTCCCCCCCGCGCTCGCCGCCGACATGCGCATGGTTCACTGACGAGGACCGCGAAGCTCGCAGGACACACAAAAAGGCTGACCTGGAAGCATCTCGCGTGGGCCGTGGTGAAGCGCCGCACCTGTTGCGATCGGGCAAAACAAGGAGTAGAAGAGGGAAGCCGACGCTCAACCCTGTCTGACTACATACCAAACCACCCCAACCTACCCCCTAAGCCCGAATTCAGGGTTCGGAGGGTACGGGTTCCACACGTGGTTTCAATGTTTCCCGACACTAAGAGAACGAACGCTGCCATAAACATACAAACTCGGAAGTCCGCGCGGATTTCTCGGATCCGCGCTGGACCCCCCTGGCAGCGCCTCCGGCGCCGCCCCTGGCGCGCTCCGCGCGCCTCGGCAGACAGCGCCAAGGGGGGGGGGTCCTAGCTGGCCTCCTCCTCCTCCTCCTCTTTTTGCCTACCCTCCTCGAAGCCCCTCATCCCCTTCTTGTGTGCGGTCCGGGAGCTCTCTCTCACCCCTTCCATTACCAGCCTGGAACATATCCCTATCCCTATGCTGGGCACCTCCTCATCACGATGCCCATCTTAGGGATCCCCTTATTTTTTGAGGGCGAATCCCTAAGATTGTCATCGCCTTTTGGCGTGTCAATCTTTGGGATAGGGATACGTTCGAGGCTGGTCATACCATCCCTCCCCCCCGGCACTCCTGCCGGCCGCCCCTCCCCTCCCATCCTCCTGCGGCCCCTGCGCGCCACCCGCCCGCCTTTTGGACCTCTCCAATTGGTGGAAGGCCCCCCCCCCTCTCTTTCTCGGCCCACGGAAGCTGCTCCCCCCCCGTGGGCCATCCCCAGGCGGAAACCCTCCCCCCTCTCCTCCTTTCCTTCCACCCCCCTTCTCCCCTCTCGCACACTGCAGACCATCCACCCACCCTCCACTGTTCCTCCCCAACCAGACACACACACACACACACTCACACACGCACACACACATGGTTCGCACCGCCGAAACTACCCGCCTCCCCATGGAATCCCCCCACCCGGAGCAACACACGTCGACTCTACTCGTCGCGCCGCGATTCCTTGACGAACGGGCGACACAACACTGTTCCAACATTTGAATCATACCGTAACGCCTGGAACCGATACACTGGACTAGTCTGTTCTACTCCTCTCACGGCTACGTCTAATGAGCCGAGACTATACTGTCCTATTCTTGCTTCCACGTGGCAAGAGAACGGGCGGACGCCATCGTGTTCTACTTTGCTCGCCACGTGGCAACGCAAAAGGCGGAAGCACGTAGTATTCGATTCTACCCATCATGTGGTTACGCAAGAGCTAGGCGGCCTGCCATAAAAGTTCGGAATCATTGAAGTCCCTGTTTCCATGCCATCTTAATGGTTTGAAGAATGAGCCTGCGACGTACCCAACCCCTTTACATCAAGTGACAAGAGGAGTTGGCCCAGCCTTGCCAGGACAATGACAGCGCAGGCGCAGTTATATATGTTGTGCAAGCTGCGTAGGGTGCGCCCACGTGGCACGATTCACAAGACAGCAACGAAAGAACGAGGAGCAAGGGCCCAGCCTTGAGGAGGACATGGGGACGGGAACGAAGGGCAAGAGAAGGACGCGTGGGGGGCCGAAGCGTCAGCGCGGCAGGAGCAAAGGGAATGCGGCAGGGGGCAAAGGACGACGACGAAAGTGACGGGAGGAGACCGACTAATATTGTTTTGCCGGTGGTACGCTAGAAATGCAGCGCTGCCTGCGCCATGACGCCGCGGCGTCCGACAACAAAAAAAAACCTGCTTACTGTTGCTGCAGGGAGCGAGCGAAGCTTAGCTCGCCCGCGAGCTTCCCTGTATCCTTCCTGCACTTTTCAATGCTGGAGCGAAACTAAGAGGCACCTCCAGGTCTGCGGGCGCCCCGCGACAGCGCCCCGAGGGAGCCCCAAGCAGCCCTCCAAACTGGCGACAATTTCGCAGATGGCAGCCCCCCAGGGATGAAGAGGTCTAATCTGAATCTTGGTTGTGCTTCACTTCGCTGAAACCCCAGCAGACCTCGAAGGTGGCGACAATTTCGCAGATCGCAGCCCCCCCAGGGATGAAGAGGTCTAATCTGAATCTGGGTTGTGCTTCACTTCGCTGAAACCCGCAGCAGACCTCGAAGGTGGCGACAATTTCGCAGATCGCAGCCCCCCCAGGGATGAAGAGGTCTAATCTGAATCTGGGTTGTGCTTCACTTCGCTGAAACCCGCAGCAGACCTCGAAGGTGGCGACAATTTCGCAGATCGCAGCCCCCCCAGGGATGAAGAGGTCTAATCTGAATCTGGGTTGTGCTTCACTTCGCTGAAACCCGCAGCAGACCTCGAAGGTGGCGACAATTTCGCAGATCGCAGCCCACCCAGGGATGAAGAGGTCTAATCTGAATCTGGGTTGTGCATCACTTCGCTGAAACCCGTAGCAGCCCTGGAAAGTGGCGACGGTTTCACAGATAGCAGCCCCCCAGGGATGAAGAGGTCTAATCTGAGTCTGCGGCGAGTACCCACTCCGCCGGCCCCCCGGCAACCCTCGAAAGTGGCGACGGTTTCGCAGATAGCAGCGCACCAGGGATGGCGAGGTCTAATCTGAGTCCGCGGCGAGTACCTACTCCGCTGGCCCCCCCAACAGCCCTCGAAAGTGGCAACAGTTTCGCAGATCGCAGCCCCCCCAGGGATGCCGAGGTCCAATCTGGGTCCGCGGCCGCGGCGAGTACCCACTATGCTGGACCTCCCAGCAGCCCTCGGAAGGGGCAACATTTTCGCAGATCGCAGCCCCCTCAGGGATGCCGAGGTCCAATCTGGGTCCGCGGCGAGTGCCCACTATGCTGGCCCCCCCTCGGCTACACGCAAGAGTGACCCTGGGTAAGAGTGACCTTTGGTGCGCGACTTTTGGGGGGCCGCGGGGGGACCAAACCTGGGCGCGCAAGCAGCTGCTACTGATTCGTTTTCAGCCATCTGTGGGCCCATCAGTGCCCGCACCAAAGGTCACTCCGGCGAAAGGTCACTCTTATGTCTTATGTCTAGTCGACCCCCAGCAGCCCTCGAAAGTGGCGACAGTTTCACAGATCGTAGCCCCCCAGGGATGGCGAGGTCCTCAGCGCCGAGGCTCTGTTGACGGCAAGACAGGCAGTTTCGCAGATCGCAGCCCCTCAGGGATGGCCAGGTAGGAGGCAAGCCGGCACCAGGTAGGAGGCCAGCCGGCACGCAGGAAGGAGCGAGGTGAGAGGCAGGAGAGAAGAGGAGAGGGAGGTGGGAGGAGGTGTGTGACCACAGTGCTCTACTCAAAACGAGAGACCGACGCAGGAGGATTGGGAAAAAGACTAAGAATTCACCACGAAGGGATAGGAGAATGTTGGGCCAAAGGCTACTCCACACGCCGGGTGACACCTCATGGGAGCACGACCTAATCCCACCAGCCCTCTGGACGTAGGTGGTCTTGGGAGGCTCATCTTCCAACCCCCTTCTTCCCCTTCGGGGAGGGGTTGTACCCTCCCCCCTACCCCCACCCCCTTCCCTTGACCTGGACGGGGGAGGTCGAGGGCAATTGGAGCGTCCAAGATGGCCCAAGATGGCTCCAAGAGCGCCTCGGAAAGCCCCAAATGATCTCCAAGATGGCTCAAGATAGCGCAAGATTCCTCGAGATGGTTTTCAAGATGCTCCAAGAAGCACCAAGAACGCTCCAAGACGGCTCTCAGAGGCCTCCGAGACCTCCAAGGAATTCCCCAAGACACCAAAATCCTTCAAACACTAATGAAAATCAATGGTGTTTGCGATCTCGCCATTTCGCTTCCGATAGTCATCCGAGGCCTCAAGCTGGCTCCAAGATGGCCCAAGAAGGTCGCTGGAGAGGCCCGCGAGAGGCCCAAAACGGCCCCAAAAGCGGCCAAGAGCGCCCGACGAGCGTTCCACGAGGGGTCCAGGAAGCGATGGCTAGGGCTCCCGAGGGGGGAAGCTAATTGGAACGCCCCCCGTTCTTGGTCGATGTCCTCCAAGATAGCCCCAAGAGTGCCCCTAAGGTTCCCAAGAGCGCCCCAAGGGGGCCCCAAGAGACGCCCGGACAGCCCCAAGAGGCGCCCTCCAAGAGGCTCCCAACAGGCCCCCTTGAAGCCTCCACTGCATGCTCCTCCGCGTCCCTGATCAAGGCAACTCGCCTAGACATCATTTGTGGATGGGCTGGTGGAGATGCGCGAAGCGTCAAGAATTCGATCATGTTTTAGACGTGAGAGGCAACGCCTGCGGGGCGACAACACGGTTTCCACTCTACTCGCTGCGTGGCAACACACATACGGAACACGTAGAAAGTTGGTGTCGTCATATGGCGACGCATGGAAACAACACCGAATTGTGGTTTGCTCCATCCGTGAAGTGGCAACGCCCGGGGGGGCGAACACGGAATACGATTCAAATCTACTCGCCACGTGGCAACGCAAGAAACGAAAACACACTGTTGTACTCGTCGCGTGGCAACGCACGGAAGGGCGACACCAAGAAGTCTCGTCTATTCCGTACAAGGGAGACAAATCGGAAATGGTTCGGCGACAACGCCGATGCCGACGTCGACGACGACGAGAACGACGAAAAACACAAGACGACGATACCGACGGCGATGGCGACGACGTTGAGAACGACGTCGACAACGTGGACGAAAACAACGACGGCGACGACGGCGACGGTGACGGCAACGACGACAACGACGAGAACGACAACTAGAACAACAAAACTACAACGAACACGGAGATCACAAGGATCGGAAGGAGTCCGCGACGGTCGACTGTAGTCGTCGCGGGGCACCGCTTTACGCCGAAGTAAATGAAGGGCTGCTATGCGCATCACCTTGCAACGATGGGAGGACGAAGTATTAAATATCAATCAGAAAGGATGGCTACGTGGCAAAGAAGGGAGCGGAAAACATACCAATCTACTCTACTTGTCCTTTGGCATCGCAGGTAGCGAAGCCCAATAGTAAGAGTTCTGCCCTAGAACGGAGACAACGCACGACGAAGACGACAACGACGATGACAACGACGATGACCGAGTGGCAACGCAGAGAGCAGAAACAACCAACATCTCCTCCACTGCTCTACAATTGA